GAGCGACACCATAAATCATAAATCAAACTGGTTTGAAAAATGCAAAACCAAAAATAAATATGAACCACAACAGTAAAATTGACTTGACGGCAGGGCTAGTTATAACACGTAAATGTCCTGCTAACCTAAAAGTTTAGCATTTGCACAATGTCTGAACAATAACAAAACACTATAGACCCATGATGTTACATGAAACACATAAATATAAACCTAAGGTGGGAATGGGGGGGTGCTCCATTAGGGCTTATGGTGGACATGCAGCCAGCCTGTGTATGGCTTTTAGGGATTGTTTTGGGTTAAATTTCTTAAGCAGGGAACCAAAATCAGCATTCTGTCTGAAAGTCTGCAGGGTGGGAAAGTTTCTCTTCTTAAACATGGTCAGATTTCGAGTGTCTGAGCCACACCTCTCAACCCAATGATACATGGAGTACCCCCCCCCAGAATCCAGAGCCTCATGAACCTAATGATTGTATAACAGTAGTTAATTGTTTTGATGTTTAAATGTCCCAAATAGGGGCTCACCATGTAGTAAACATGCATATTATGATAACAGTGACTTTGCCTTATGCTCTTGGTTCTCTAGCTGCTATAGCTAGGAAGTGTTTAAAATAATGCAGTTTCAATGTGTCCTTTAAATTGTTCCAAAATTGCACGTCAAATGGAATTCGCTCGATGCTCGTTCCCTTACTGGTGTAGACGATGAAATCGCACCACTTTGCCCCGGTCACACCCATCAGCCCTTGCACCTGGACATAGTATTTATGGGTGCGTTTAAGTTTAGGCTTTCCATCGACTTCTTCCATGAAAAAGCTGCTATCAGAGCATGCATCCAGTGGGGTGACTAAGTACTTGGTTTCTGGGCGCTTGACCTCAGAAAGACCAAATTGATCAGAGCATCCAGGATCAATAACCTTGCCATCTGGTGATGCACTCAAGTATGGGGCATCCATACTTATTACAAGTCCTGACTTAAAAACCTTCACTGACTTGTTAATGTTGTTGGCGTCCTTCTGTCTCGGGAGACAATGGAGTTGCGCCCATGGTCAGTCTGTGGTGGAGCTGCAGTGCCGGCTGTGGCTGTAGAGACCGATCCTCGAGCAGCAGATCCTGCTGCAGTTGCTGCATGCGAAGACGTTGTCGTCCGAGGGGGATGGGTTGGCCTCTGCTCTCTGGCACCTGCGAGCTCTCTTGTCTTCCCACTGCTCCTCTCTTTTCTGCTCTGCTGTCTTGATGGCTGACATGGTGGTGGATCGCCAGCCGCTGTGGTCCGCTGCCAGTGCTTCGAAGCCTGCTGGCGCAATGCAACCCGCCTTCAGGTCCCGCTTGAGCACATCCTTGTAGCGGAGCGAAGGTCGTCCAGTGGGTCTGGACCCAGTGGCAAGCTCGCCGTACAGAATGTCTTTCGGTAGCCTGCCATCTTGCATGCGGGTGACATGACCGAGCCATCGCAGGCGTCTCTTGGTTAGCAGGGCGTACATGCTCACAGTTCCTGCCCTTGCTAGGACTTCAGTGTTTGGGATGCAATCCTGCCAGGTGATGCAGAGGATTCTCCTGAGGCAACGCAGGTGGAAAGCATTGAGCCTGCGTTCTTGCCGGGTGTAGGGAGTCCAACTCTCGCTGCCGTACAGCAGTGTGCTCAGCACACGCCTGGTACACTTGCGTCTTGGTCTTCATGGTGAGCATAGTGTTCTCCCACACTCTCTTGGTCAGTCGGGCCATAGCTGTTGAGGTCTTGCTGATCCTCATGTTCAGCTCGGTGTCCAGGCTGAGGTTGCTGGAGATGGTGGACCCAAGATAGGTAAAGTCCTCCACCACATCAAGGGTACAGTCACCTATGGAGATGCTGGGAGCAGTGCTGACGTCTTGGCCCAGGATGTTGGTCTTTTTTATGCTGATTGTGAGGCCAAACTGTGAACAGGCATGGGCAAAGCAGTTGATGAGCTCCTGGAGGGCAGTTTCGGTGTGAGCTGTGATGGCGGCATCATCAGCGAAGAGCATCTCCCGGATGAGGACTTTGCGCACCTTTGTCTTGGCTCGGAGGCGTGCCAGGTTGAACAGGCTACCGTCGCTCTTGGTGTGTGCAGGTAGATGCCCTCTTCGGATTGGCTGAAGGCGTAGCGCAGCAGCAGGGAGAACAGGATGCCAAAAAGTGTCGGCGCGAGGACACACCCTTGTTTGACGCCGCTCTTGATGGGGAAGGGGTCGGAGGAGGAGCCATCGTACTGGACAGTACCTTTCATTTCCTTGTGGAAGGAGGTGATCATCCTCAGTAGCTTGGGGGGGCATCCAATCCTGTGCAGGAGTGTGAACAAACCTGACCTGCTGACCAGGTTGAACGCTTTGGACAGGACTATGAAAGCGATGTACAGGGGGCGTCTCTGCTCACGGCATTTCTCTTGTAGCTGCCTCAGAGAGAAGATCATGTCGATCGTAGACCTTTCAGCTCGAAATCCGCACTGTGATTCTGGGTACACACGCTCTGCCAGTGACTGCAGTCTGTTCAACACGACGCGGGCAAAGGTCTTGCCGACGATGCTGAGGAGGGATATTCGCGATAGTTATTGCAATCGCTGCGATCACCTTTGTTTTTTGTAGAGCGTGATGATGTTGGCGTCACGCATGTCCTGAGGCACACTTCCTTCCTCCCAGCATTGTAGCAGAAGTTCGTGGAGATGTTCGAGAAGACTGGTCTCTTTGCCTGCTTTTATGACCTCTGGCGGAATGCCATCGTTGCCTGGGGCTTTGCCGCTGGCTAGGGAGTCTATGGCCTTACTGAGCTCCTCGATAGTGGGTGGGTCATCAAGCTCTTCCATGACTGGCAGGGGGCTCGTGTTCTTCACTGCTGTGTCAGTCACGATGGTCTCCCTGGAGTACAGCACCTGGTAATGTTCCGCCCATCTCGCCATTTGCTTTGCACGGTCTGTGATGATTTCACCAGTGGATGACTTGAGAGGGGCAGTCTTGATTGCGCATGGGCCGAAGGCTTTCTTTGTTCCCTCATACATGGCTCAAATGTTGCCGCAGTCAGCCGATGTCTGGATGCCTTGACATAGGTTCTGCCAGTAGTTGTTGGCGCACTGTCTAGCAATCTTTTGGGCTTCACTTCTGGCTCGTCTGAGGGCAGTCAGAGTCTTTTCACAGGGGTCTTTCTTGTAGTTCAGTAGGGCAGTTCTCTTGGATGAGATGGCTGGCTCAAGTTCCTCGATTCCGGCTTCGAACCAGTCGGGGTTTTTGCGCTCTCTCTTTCCAAAAGTGTCCACTGCAGATTTGTATGTAGCGTCACTTAAGTGGTTCCATCTATCCTCAGCGCAGCTAGTTGGACAGTCACTGAGGGCCTCTTGGATGGCATCTGCAAAACGTCCGCGCAGTTCAGGCACAGAGGTCACGGCTGTATTGATGCGGGGACGTCCTTTGTGCTTTGAGTGGTGGATTCGCTTGGGTTGGAGACGCACTTTGCTGGCAACCATAGAGTGGTCGGTGTCGCAGTCAGCGCTGTGGTAGCTACGGGTGGACAGGACACTGTTTAGCAGGGGTCTGCGGGTGATCACGAGATCCAGCTGGTGCCAGTGACGGGATCTGGGGTGCCGCCAAGACACTCTGTGGTGAGGTTTCGTGGTGAAGAACGTGTTTGTGATGCAGAGGTCATGGAAGGAGCATAGCTCGAGGAGACGCTGCCTGTTCTCGTTGAGTTTGCCTACGCCAAAGTGGCCGATGCATCGAGGCCAGGAGGTGAAGTCTGAACCAATCCATGCGTTGAAATCGCCAAGCAGGTACAGGTGTTCTGAGGGGGGTATTTCCTTGATGGCGGTCTCAAGCTGGCTGTAGAACTCATCCTTAGCCTCTGCTGTAGAGCAAAGCGTGGGGGCATAGGTGCTCATGATGTTCACAGGGCCTGAGGTTGTTGTGAGGCGAAGGGAAAGGATGCGGGCTGTGCCTTCTGAGGGTAGTTCGACTGAGGGCAGTAGGGAGTTCCTAACCGCAAAGCCTACACCATGCACACGATGCTCCTCTGGAGCTTTCCCCTGCCAGAAGAAAGTATAGTCCTCCTCTTTCAGGCTGCCATTGGATGGAAGTCTAGTTTCCTGCAGTGCTGCTATGTCAATGTTGAGCCTCTTGAGCTCTCGGCTGATGACTGCTGTCTTCCTTACGTCATCGATCTGCTGGAGATCGTCGGAGAGGCCAGGGCACATGGTCCTGACATTCCAAGTTGCCAGTCTCAGCGCTGGCGGCTTTGATGTCTTTCTTCTTCTTTTGTCTGGTGCGGGATTTACAGTCCGCTCTTCGGTGTTATCCTTAGCTCCAAGCACCCATTGAAGCAGGCAGACTGTGACGGGTCAGCACCTTACTGGCTGGGGGCTGCCCAGCTTGAGGCGGGCGATAGCTGACCAGTGGGACGCGAAGATCCCTCCCACCGTCGGAGACAGCCCCTGGCGTCCAAGCTCACGCCAATACGCTCTGGGCTTATAACCGGTATCTGCTGTCTCCCGTGTTGTTTTTGTCGCTGGAACAGCGGCACTGGAGTGACCTCTCCAGGGCGCAAGCCTGGGCGGAGTGTGTGGAGATCCTGGGTTGCCCAGTCGACAGGACCCCCCTCTTGGCCTCGCCAGTGTAGTCCAAAGGAATGCAGAGCAGTACGTTTGGCACCAGGTTGGCTGCAGGAGCTGCCGGAGTCAGTGAGCACTGCACGCTGGTCCGCCTTCGGAACTCCACTCCTGATTTGAAGGGTTTACTCCCCTACACATGGCCGTTGGATCTTCAGATCTCCTCCGCCCTCTAGCCGTTGGCTGCCTGGAGCAGCTCCTCCGCCTAGTAGTGATGCAGTGTAAACATCACCCCCTCACGTGGTTTAGCCCACCAGCTGAGGCGGTGTGCCGGGGTGTGGCGCTTGGAGCCAGCACGTGAGAGATTTAGGAGATGGATGAGGACCAGTGTGCCCGTCCACCCTACCAAGTAGGATGCAGCTGCCAGACGACAAAGGTACTACCTCTATCCAGAGCCCCCTATTGTTCTAAGGCAATTGGCTCATATTTTAGTCCATGATTAGTATATCTTGATGAAAAAGGCTTTGGATTTATAAGATTTTGTACTAAAGATTCATGGTTTCTTTTTCTGTCCCGTATAAGACCAAAATTGGAGGCAGTAAATCGGAATTTCCTTTCCAACTTCCATTCAGGGCACTCTGATTGGCTGCGTGTTTTAATTTCAATGCCATTCAGTTTATCTTCATCAACTTGCAGATCCTTTAACAGTGATTTTTCTGCTTCTGAAAGATCAGCAGGTATCTCAAACTGTTCATTAGACTGACTTGATAGGGGAAATCTTGGATATGTCACAATATGCTCACCATGGTTGGCAGGGTTTGCCCTTCGGATAGACATGATGTCACAAAACACTTTGAAATTATCTTCGGTCACTGCAAGTTGATAGCTAGCATACGAGCCTTGTGGACTTCTGCCAAATTTGGTTTCTACTAAGGGAATAGAATCAGCCTTTGGGGTCATAATCTGTGCTAGGGCCATATTTGGGTTCAATTCTTTCAAGGTTGCCAACAGTTTCTCTTCATCTGCCTTTTGCCCCTGTATATTATTCCTTGCCTCATATAGTGTACATCTGACACCAGGTTCTCGAGCTGATGATCTGGGCTGCTCCAGGTAGGTCTTTGCTACAAGCACCTCCATTGCTGGTTGTGGATTTATAGAGTCTCCTCATCCCTTCCTATGCCACCTCTGTAAAGAGGAAGTACATGCTTGCTTTGGCTGCATGTCTTCTTCGTTTTCAAGTTCATGGACAGTTTTACATTCATATAATGAGAATTTGCAAATCTTCATCAAGAGTGCTAATATATGGTTACAAAAACCAACCTTCCCAGCAACGCAGGAACATGTAGCATGTTTCACCTCCCCACTTAAAATGCACAATGCGACTTTCAAGTTGTGTGGGGCATCATTCTTCCGAAAACTGTGATAGCAGTGAGACCGGAAATAAAAGTAGTTGTCATCGCTTGCTGCGGAGATACCCTTCAAATATTCGTCATTCAGAAAAGTTGTCGCTTTCCGAATACTCGTTGGCACTGAATGGGCTTTACTTGTCGGATCAATTCTTTTTCCAGACTTTGAAATGTGGTCATTCATTTCGGCGCGGGTAAAAAAGGGCATCCGCCGTATGTCTGCAGACCAGCCATCTGATGGGAAACTCAAAGGATGCTGAGTTGCGGCAATTCCGGAGTTGTCATCTTTGTTTTTATCCAAGCGTTCCTTGCGCTTTGTATATGCGGAGTCAGGATCCGGATCTACTATATTTTGATCACGACCTTCTTTGATATATTCCTCAACCCTAAACAGAAGGGAAGATAAGATCGTTTTTAAACTTTGGTTACCGCAATTGCAATCAAGGCAAGCAAGGCGCGAAATCTCCGCGAATCGGTTGAAGTACGAGCATCCTACCTTTTCACTAATTGTGCTTTTGTTTTCAGTCCTTTCAATGTATCGCCCCTACATTTCAGCCAGAAACGAAGTTCTTCATTTTTTAGCGTGGCAGGCGATCTACCTCAAAGAGAAGCTCTAGGAATATCGTCTTCTGTGAGCGCACGTGAAGCAGCCATTCATGACGATCAAAACACAGGGAAAAGCCGGCCTCACTGGCTGGCCTCACTAGCCTCGCTTCCACGCAACTAGCCTTGGGCCGCCCGAGAGGTCCGCCATATTTGCATTCAGTGTATACAGTGGTCCATATAAGATTCCAGGAAAACTTGACACTAAAAGCCCTATAAAGCTAGCTAGTTCCTGGATTGGGAGCTCAACAAGCTCCATCATTTTCTTGCATCTTTCCCTTATGCGCTGGATTTTTTCCTGTGTTAAGGAGACAGTCGTATTAACTGAATCCAAGACAAATCCCAGAAATGTAAGGACTTGAACTGGCTGTAAGACTGACTTATCAGGATGTAGGATAAAACCCAATGTTGAAAATAAGTCACAGGTATCATTAATATTGGCTTGGCACTCCTCCACGCTCTCCCCTTGTAAATAAGAGTCATCAATATAGCCTACATTTAGGTGACCCTTCTGGCGCAGCGTAGCATACACTGGCTTAAGGATTTTTGTGAAGTGTCGGGGTGCACAAGCCAGACCATTTGGTAGACATGTAAACTGAAACAATCTACCTTTCCAGCAAAACCTCAGATATTTTTGATCATCTTTGTGAATTGGCACTGAGTAGTATGCGTCACGCAGGTCTACTGAGGCCATATAACAGTTTGGAGTCATAAGCCTTATTGCCGATTGTAAGGTATCCATCTTAAAATGTTGATACTCCACATGTTCATTCAAATTCTTCAAATTTAGAATTAATCTAAACCCTCCATCTTTCTTAGGGCGTATGAATATAGTAGAAATATATTCACCAGGGCAATGTGTGGTTTCTGAAATCACACCTTTGGTCAGCAGTTTATCAATTTCATTGTCAATGACCTCCTGCTCTGGTTTTGTAAAATTTATTTCTTTTGGTGGCATAAACTGCATTGGCTCTCCATTTTCAAACTCAATTTTATAATTTTTCACACTATTAAGTATGAAAGGATCTGAGGTTATGCATTGCCACTGAGAGGTAAATTGTTTCAGTCTTCCACCTGTAATTTTAATAGGTTGCTCTGACACATTTCTTACCTCAACGTTGTTAGCCGTCTGATTCATTTTGACTTCCCCTCCTTCTTCCTCTTGAAGTTCGGAGGATGTTTGTGGTTGTTTTTCCACGAGCCTAAAAAAGGCATCCTGTAATGTTGGTTTCCTGAGCGTCTGCGGCTATGTGTGTAAGAGTTGTGCCTGTGATAATCAGGCTTGTTCGTTGATCGACCACTGTGTGTGGAGACT